TTTTTGCTTTATGATAGAATGCAATTGTTCAATTATCATTTGATCTGATATGCTTCTTTGATTTTACAGTATCACAAAAAATTAATTGGTAGAAGTTTTAATTATAAAGGCTTATATTTATCGATTAAAACTAATTAGGTAAAATTGATAGAATGTCTAAGTTTTAAGACTAAAAATACTAATATCTATTACATAAGACGGTTTTGCTTATTTTTAGTGATAAATATTTTGTTTATAATTATATTTTAATCAAGTAATTTATTTCTAATTTTAAAAAATAAATACAATATTTATTACTAAATACATAATTAAGTGATGTATATTTTACTCATATTGTTTTAATATACAAAGTGTAACTCCTAAATTTTCATATATATGCCATTGGCCTTTAGGAATCTACTTAATTCATGAATTTTATTATAATAATAAATAGAATTCAATTATTTCTCTAACTTTGGTTTTTTAGGAAATGATATTTTATTAATTTAATTAGACGGATTAAGAAAGATTAATACGGTTATTCGAATAGGATTACATCCCCTTTATTAGTGTCTTAATGGAAGATGACATTTCATATTGATATCTGCTGCATGGAACTCCTTTCCCTGTAACAGCAGGCCCAGAAAATGGCTGCAAAAGCTCATACGGTATAATCCCAGCTCTATTTCTGTTTCTCAAATCGCTGTTGTGTTTCTTTCATCAATGATCCCTTCATCACTTTTAATCTCCCATTAAGTTTTCGAATGCGCATTTATAACCGGATCTTCGCCCCATGATGGCTCCATTTCCTCTCCCATACTCCTCGTCCGGAATGATTCGATAACCATCCAAAACCGCCTCACTTTCGCGCTTGCATTCGAGAAGGGAAGCATCGGAGGAGTGCGGCTTCCGGATTCTCATGAACAACTTCCATTCTTCGTCCAAAGGGTCCTCGGTCGGCTTTTGGTTCGAGCAATGGTAGGCTCGTTAGGAAAGTAGCCGCATATGGTATTGGCCGAAGTTCACTGCTGCGTGGTGTTCCGAAGTGGCCCAGATAATAGTTTGATGATACTAATAAGGTCTTGTGGTTTCTTAGAACAGGCCACCATGGTTGATCCTTTTTGTCACCGTGACCGACTGTACGAATTTCGTTCCACCATTCTAGAAGCTCGTTATCCGACTCGATGAGATTCGCATTCGGGTAGTAAGGTTGACATAAGCCGAACACATTGTCCCAAAGCATCCCAAATGAGAAAACCATCATTGGCAAAAGGGTAGTCATTGATGGGTAGCCTTAGACCATGAGATGCATTTGGATCCTCATCAGCCATCTCCCTATCAACAAAGTCATTAGGAATTAAAACATTTGTATATGCACCCGAATTCGCAACTGGATTACCTGCTTATTAGATCGGCCCGTAGAGCTTGATGATCGAATCGCCACTCCAAGTCATAGGCAATGGCACAAAGCTCAATCGAGTACTTGTTGGGCGAGAACACGTTCTCTATAATCCCATCGGCATTGATCAGTGATTCAGAGCTAGTGAATTAATCTCTATCGTGTACCGGAATAGGGATGTAACAGCCTATATATTGGATTCATAACGCTGAGTTGCCGATTAGTTGAGATAATATAAGGCTCAGTGAAACAATGAGTCCTTAACCTGCAAAGAAACATCAGAGGCATGCATTCAGTGGAAGATAAGAGAGATGAAAAAGAAAAGAAAAGGAATACACCTACCAATGACTACAGTTGATGATAGCTCGCATCGTGAGCGAGGACATGAACTTTCGCTAGCCGCCAGAGCCAACACGCCGTCGAATCCCAGGAAGGTGCATACACTTGTTTCCACTGCAGCTTTCCATCCATCGGTGGTCGAGTTAACTCAATGGCTAACGCCTCAATGTGTCGTTAGAGTTTTAGAAAAAAATGTTCGTGATCCATACATGTCGTTCCGTTAAGCTCTCGGACATTCTTGACATATGGTAACATAAGTCGTGGTAATCTAGTATGAGCAACCTTTTCTGTTTCAATGCCTGCACGATACGAAATTGCACATACGAATTAGTTCACGATATATGGTAATGGCAAATTGTTGTAATGTTCTTATATTGAGCCTTGTACAGAACCTGCTCCACCGTCATGACACCTCTGATTTCTCGGTTGATCATTTCTTCGGTGATTGCAGACTCTGCCAGGCCATATATCTTCGGAGCCAGTTTGCTTTTCGATGGCCATTCCTGCAATAATTGGCAATCAGATACTTTATGGAACAAATGTTAGGTGATATTCTAATCAATGTGTCAGAATGCTACATATAATGTTTACGGATCATACCGTAACTAACCGAATGCTATGCGGATTTAGACCGGCAAGTTTTTGCCGAGCAAACTCCTCGTCCCTAAACCAAAAGAAATTTGTCCCCTGCAAATACAGAAAACAACTACTATTATGATCAATTGCAGTCCAAGAAACAGAGTAGAAGCATGAGAGTTCATACTAGCCAGGGTATCGGGGGCCTCGAACCGCAGCACATCTTCACCTCCCTCGGTCATAGCCGTGAAAAGTCTCGGAAGGACAGTATTCCAAACCCCTTGTTCCTTGAGGGGAGGCAAGTTGATTCCATCGCTGAAGAGCGAGTCCAAGGCTGTACTCATTCCTTAAATATTGGTACATGGTCATACCTGTTCCACATCGAGGTCTTCCGGTTCTACATCGTCGAGGGGAATTCTGTACCGCCCAATACGGATCTTTTAAGCACTAGTTCTTTTTCTCTTAGCCTCTCTTAGCATCTTCAGTCCATTTGGAGTCTTTGATGGTAAATATGACTGCTTCAACAATAACAATATTATGGAAGCCGTTGATGACGATTTCATCGACGTATGTCTCTCGATGGTGCTCGTTCTCCACAAACATTGCTCTGATCTCTCCGAATCCTCCTCCGACTCGAGCCCTCGATCGAGTCCGATATGAGTGATGAAGTCACCAACGGTTTTTTTAAAATGGACAATAGTCTCTATTATAAATACTCTTAATTATATAACAATGAACGTTCAATTATCCTGTTACAGCCACTGATGCTCGAACTCATGACCTCTAAGAACAACAACGATTCCTTTAACCATTTAGATAAGTTAATTCGTGCTTGAACTGAAATTAAATTTTAAGTACTTTTAATCATACATAATGATCAATTAATAAAATAAATAAAAGCCTTTAAAAAATCATAAATTTTTTAGTTATAATAGGGTAAATTACACGCTTACTCTATCCTATTTTACCTACGGTACTTGTAATTTTTTTAATTTATTTACTGAATTTTATACATTGAATTTTTTTAATACTGGATCATTTGATGTGGCTTATTTTAATATTTTTTCCAGACATTTAAAATAAAAGCTGTTTTTGCTTCAATCTTACTGTGTCCTCTACACATCTGATCGACTTCCCAATGAGAGCGAGAACAACAAACAACAAAGCAATCACCTCAAATCTGATTCTCCATGCAAGGGCCTTATATCTTCACTTCCGGTCGAGAAAGGTTGGGTTAATCATCTCTATCAGTATCAAGGATTTTGGATCGATCCTCAAAAGCTGCAAGACGTGCTCACTTGCCAACGCCACTTTCAAGCTCGGGAAACTGATATCTTCCTTGTTACCAATCCCAAATCGGGAACCACATGGTTCAAGGTTATTGTTTTTGCCTTGATGAACCGGTTCCAATATTCATTCACCGATGACAATCACCCTTTGCTCTCGAAGAATCCTCACGTTCTTGTTTCATTCTTCCTGGCCGAGCTTCACGTACGTCGATGGTTAAGTTTCTATTTCACGGACTCAAGAATAACTGCTACTCACTCATCCACTTTTTATTGCCGGACTCTGTAAAGAACTCGCCTTGCAAGCTTGTGTATTTATGTAGGAACTCAAATGGCCAAATGATACTTTCGTCTCGCTTTAGCACTTCACAAACAAGTTAAAAGACAAATACTGAAAGACAAAGTAAAGGTGCAGTTGCAGGTGGGGGAAGTGGATTTGAACTTGTTCAAGGTGGTGTAGGTTTTTGTTACCTCAACTCCCAAGAGCACTTCATTTGCTTGCCACATAAAAATGATTTGAGTGTTCCCATCTGGATAGTCAAAATAGCCTCGACATGTGCATTGTATCCAACAAAGCCAAAAAAAAATTCATGCATGGAAGTAACTATTTATAATTTTTTTTAAAATAACATAAAAAGTCAAGAAAATCACAACCATTGAATGTTGTTGTGTAGCATTTATCATCAATCCAATGCCAACAGCAATTGATGAACCATAATCTGATACAAGGTTGGTACGGACATAAGGTGATCATTGGATAGACTCATAGTCCCCAAGATTCCCGTTGACTCCTAGATCCAATAGACCTAAGGTAAGACCTTATCGATATAGTTATGGGAACACATATGGTGTATGGTTAGAGAGTAACTAAATGTTTTTATTGAAAATTTTACCGTCACTTTTATACTATGAAACTAAATTTGATTTTAAAAAATATATGTATATTTTTATTCTGCACTTTTAGGACACACTGAACTTCCTAGTAGGGTGTTCTTTTTTTAATTTTAACCGAATTAGTTCGATAAATTCGGTCGGCCACCGAATTAGTTTGGTCGGGAACGGTTAATATTTTTTTAGAACTCGGTTAACGGTTAATTCATTCGAAATCGGTTAATTCACCGAATTAACCGAAATTAAATTTTAAATATTATATATATTATATATAACATATGGGCTCAGCCCAAACTATTTAAAACCAAATTAATAATTTAAGATCAATAACTTTTAAACTTAAACCAATATTAATTAATTAAAACATCCATATAAAATTTTTATTTTATAATTATATATTATTTAAATTAATTGTAAATTGTATTTTTGAATTAAAAAATATTCAATTTTTATATATTTAGAAAATTTTAAAAAAATTTGGTTAATTTGAAAATTAACCGAAATTTATGCGGTTCGGTTAATATTTTCAAAAAAAAAGTTCGGTTTGATTAACGGTTAAAGAAAAAAATTTCGATTAATTCTGTTCGGTTGACCACCGTTTTAACCGAATGAACACCCATACTCCCTAGTTCAATTCTCTAAACTTTTTTCCTTTTAGATACCATCGGGTAGACACCCCGGCCTAGACACTTAGAGGATCGACACATTTCGTACCGTACTTTTTATTGTAATGTTTTCATCTTCTGAAATACCTTTATTTTGGTGACATGTGTCTATATTTTGATATATTATTTTATTGTGTATGGATCTTTACGATACTTGTTATTTGGTATTTTGTACTGCGCATAACATTTTATGTTTACATTACTCAGTTTGAATTTTACTATTATTAATTTATGTTTTTAAATAACTTTATTGTTATTAACAATGTTTTAAATATGTTTGATTATTGTATATTTTTAAAGGGTTAGGAAAATATTTTAGAAAATGTTCTTTGTAATCCGTTAAATTTAGTAGTATCATGCAGACCGGATCTAGGGGTTACAAAGCTAAGATTCAAATGAGAAAAAAGTTACGATGAATAATAAAATATTTAAAATGAAAAGTGCGGAAAAACAAAAAAAGAAAAGAAAAAAATTGATTCGACCCCATCGAAATTCAAGTTCAAGCGTCAATTAATTTACTAGGAGAGAGAAAAAAAATACCATACACTAATTTGATTCTAGATAGAGTCAGAAATCGGGTTTTTTTTCCCAAAACCCTTGGAAGATAAAATATTAAGGGTATTGGGTTTACCCAAACTTTATTTAGTAAAATGCGATATTTGCTATAGTCTAAACGGAACTCGTGTGGGATATTATTTCTTAACGAGCCACTTGTAGTGGGCTCACGTGGACCATTATTTTAATGGTGTTATAATAACTCGTCGCACCAAGGTGACGAGTCCATAAAAAATTAATTTTTTTAAAAATAAAATTTAGAAAATAAAAAAATATTCAATGGAACTCGTCACATCGAGGTGATGAGTTACTTCGAATTCAATAAAAAAATAGTCGTTCAACGGACAGACGTGCAGTAACGGGTACTTGGAATTTTTCACCTCGAGCTGACAAGGTCGACCAAGAATAATTTTAAAAAAATAAAAATCAATTTATTTAAATTTTACAAAATATAAAGTAAATTAATTGTAAAAAATAAATTTTTACATGAAAATTACAAAGAAAAAATATTTATGTCTTCTAAGTTCTTGATGATGTCGCGGAGTGGTCGAATGATATTGCCGCAGGGGTTATCGATTACGCCTTGATTATCGCAGGGGTCGTAAGTCTTGATTGTCGTCGTCGTTTTCTTACCGAGAGGTGTACCCAACACACTCTGTGATCCACCTTTGAAATACAGTGATGAATATGACATTTGACGCCATTATCGCCATAACTGCTTCGACTTGGTTGCTACTTTGTTAACTATATAGGATATGGTCTGAGTCACCTGCAATTGCATGTTCTGTCGAAGATGCTTGAGTGTACTGCGGTGCATCTCATGAACCTCTGACCCAATTCGGTCGAGTTTCGGTTGAAGTATGAAATGGAGGATAAAACTGGAATTGGCCTGATGCATAATAGTACTATTCAACGGCAAATGCTGAAGTAGAAGCAGAAGACGATGATGCTTTCTTCTTGGACTTCAACTTAGAGTTGGCACATGTGGCCTAATTATGTTGCTATTCTCTTTCGGTGTCGTGAGATATGGTTTGTCATTTTCTTCGTAAAGCTGAAGATATGGATAATGGTTGAAATCTAAGTCTAACGGTGTAATGTCCTAACAATGGGGGAGCGATAGTTCACACTGATCCATAGGTCGATGTAGTAAGCGTGTCGAACCGACTAATTATCATTATGTTTCCCACGCGTATCGATTGCATGGAGTGTGTCCATATCAACCTCCATTTGCCTGGGAATCGGCTGGCGCACCGCAAAATGGTGTATCACTCTATCAGTTGCGTGCCACTCAACAATCGCTTGGTGCAATAACTGTGTCACGGCGACACACTATAACTGGGACCCCTAAAAAATTTACCCCGATAATACATGTTTGATCTACTCATCAACATACGAAAGCCAAGAGAACTATAAATATTAAATATCAAAGTTAGTATATATAAAGTTTAAAAGATTCAAAATAATAATAATAATTTATATGTCATACCACGAATCGACCGGCGATGTCGATCATCATCTTTATGTCTCGTGTAGTGGCACCCGCCAACTTCGTCTCCGTTATTTTATGACACAATCTAAAATATTTAAAAATAAAAAATTATTATAAACAAATAAAAAATAAATAAATTTATGAAATTAAAAAAATTAAATAAATAAAGTTAAACAATTATCTTTCAGCCAGCGGAAACTCGATCGGGCATCTGTAATTGGCGTAAAAAAGGGAAGCGATACCAAGCACAAGACTCTAGCAGTATTAGACAACCTACTACATCAACTTTTCGACCTGGCGTTACAATTGCAGCCTTAAAAAGCTCCCGATACAGAAAGGCCAGAATCGTCGAGCCCCAACTGACATTATAGCACACATTGAAATCTTCCAAAATTTGCAGATAATGAGTGTGCACCAGATTACCGGATTTTTCCAATAATAATATCC